GAGAATAATGTATGATTACTGTTCAGAGCAAACAAGGCCATTCAGCATATGCTCGAATGATCAGTAAACTGAAACAAAACCTATCAGATGGGTCATATGGCCTTAGAAATACAAATACTTGTTACATTAGAATTAAGATTATTATAAGTAGATAAATTATCGCTAAAATTTAACATTTCCCAATATGATATTTAATGCTACACTTATAAAGAATTATATTAATAATAATTACATTATTAATACTAATAATTACATTAATAATACATATCAATATGTTTGCAACTACATCAAATTTAAACAATAGTAGTACATTCATATTTATAACTTAATCGTGAGGAGGCAAGTTTTGACCAGTTTTTTTTTTCTATTTCACAGGATTATATCAGTCTTTTTTCTTTGCTTCAGCTTGAAAAAGTTACATAAACAGAAAGTCTAATGATAAGAAGAATTCTTATTTATTGACATTTTTTAAGGGAAATATTTGTAAATTGAAAATTCCTTTACACTGTAGAACATGTTAAGCAGAAAGCTTCAATTTACTTTTAAAATGTATGAATGTGTTTAGTCTTTGATATCATTGCCTAAGTTTGTTGTAATAAGTGTATACCCTCTTTAGGGTACTTTTTTGATAAAGTGTAGTTTCAGAGTGGGAACGCTGTAGTTATCCTTTATACGGGTGTATGTAGTTAATTACATTCAAATTTAAAGTAAAAAGTGTCTTTGATTTTCCATGAGAATTTTCTTTGTGAAGACACTATTTCCAATATGACAGGCATGGTAGAGAAGAATCCTTAGTTTATAAAACAAGATTTGCAAGACTCCAGCTTACTGAGTGCTGGTCATTGTTTGCAGTATTCTTTTTGGATAATAAATTCGGTGCTTTCAGGGGCATTTCCCAGAAAGTATTTCATATTTTAGGTTGAGTGACACATTTGCAAATACATTGTTCGAAGTTCTCAATGTTGGAGCTTGACCTGAGGTGTATAGCATAGCAAGATTTGCTGAGCTTCCTGTTAGATTTGAGATGGGAGTGTTCCATTTTAGGTTTCTTGAATTAGTTAGTTCGAGGAAATACTTTCATGAGATAGCGTTACAGGTTATTGTTTAGAGCAATGCTAGTTAAAGTTTTTCTTTAGATCGAGGACAATGAAATTTAGGACTGTCTTGCTGGATGTTATGATGTTTGTTGTCTTGAAACCATTTATACTAGTGCTGAAAGTTTTGTGAGTTTCTTTTCATAATGATTGTTGTGTTTTTCTTGATGATGTTTGTGTCATCTGCAAAACAATAAATTATATTTGTTGTTCCTTAAACCAAAGGCATGCCATTATGTATTAAGACATAGTATGCCCAAGGATGGATCTGCGGGATCCACAATTTATTAGTTGAGACAGGATCATATGAGGAGGTATAGGTTTTTTTTTTTCCTTTTAAAGTGGTTGAGAGGCAAACTATTGTCTACGTTTGATAAATATGATTTGATCATTGGCCTGCGAAATGCCTCGAATCCCTAGCATTTCTAGTATTTCTTAAAAGTATATGATGTCAATGTCAAAGGCTTTTGACAGAATCTAGAAAAGCCAATGGAATTTCCATTCTGATTTAGCTTCAACAAGTATGTCATTTAAAAAGGAGAATGGCTTGTCTGTGAATCTATTAACTTCCTGAAGCCATGATTGTCAATTTTAAGACATGTATTGCATGAGAGAAACTGTTGAGTCTATCATTTGAAAAAGTTGCTTCCAGAAAATTTTGAAAATCCTATACAGGAAATATGCCTGTAGTTCATTGGTCATAACATTGCCCTTTTTAAACATGTTTATTTTGCTTTGATATAATCTGGAAAGATGCCTGATTTAGAGAGTTAATTGCAGATGTAGAGAGTGGTTCACTATACAGGAAACTGTGTTTAATAAGAAAATCTGAAGTTGTCCATGCCTGCTGAGAATTTATTCTCCATTTGTCCAATATTTTAAAATTTCAGGTGTGTCATATAAAATATGGAAATTACATCTGTGTAATTTAGGTTTGTTGTGTGTTTTTATTGTTTAGAGAGTGTTGAGAGATTAACTTATTACTAATTTGTGAAAAGTGTTCTTGATATAAAAGACTATTTCTTTGTTTTCTTGTACAGTTTCATTTTTGTAGTGGAGCTCTATGTTTTTTTTGTTATTATTAGTTGGTGCTTTATCTTTTTAATAACGTCCCACATGCTTTTGTTTTATTACGTGCAATTGCAATTACTTATCATTTGTTATAATTTTTAACTTGATTTGCATTACTTTTTTAGGATCGAATTATATGTTTTGTAATATGAAAGAAGTTGATGACATTTTTATTTGTAGATATTTGTATACATGTTGCGTTTTCTTTTCACATGAAACTTTTGATGGCCTGGGTAATCCACTGATTTAGTTTTCTTATTCTTGGGATCTTGTTCAGTTTTTGAGGAAAATGGCACTGAAATGTCTTAAGTATATCTTTATGAATGAGTTAAACTTATCATTGTATCGTTCCTTATAACTCATTCCATTTTCAACATCTGAGCAAGTTTAAATTTTATTAGTTTCCTTGGAATGTTTATGATTTCTTAGTGGTTGTCTAATTTTCCCCGGGTTTTTTGTTCCCTGTTGGAAGTGTTAAGGATCTGAGCAATGTGGTCACTGAAACCTGTATAAATGTAGCAACAGAAAAACAATGGTTATTTGCATCTATATTATTTGATCTAAGCAGTTACATTTTTGTATATATCAGTGTTGGTGTCTATCTTAGATTGTTGTAGATTGTATGATTCTAGTAGGTCTTTAAAGAGATTCTTCATTACTGGATTGTGTGAGACAGTTATATCTGAAGTCACCACAAAGAATAGTTTTATACTGTCTGCGTTTTTTAAAAGTTTTCGTTAAATAGATTTTAAAAAGGTTTTCAAATTTCCAGCAGGGCTGATATTGTGCATAATACCCATGTTTTAATGTTGTAATCAGATGAATGGTATTTTCAAACTCTTTCTCTTTTACCAGATGGTTGATTGTAACTGGTTTGTTAGGTATAAAGCTAATTGTATTTTCTCCAAATGCATGACTTACCCTCAAAGCCCCAATAATATGCATACTTGCCTCAAACCAAAAAGTGTACTTCACCAATGTGAATGGGATTGCTATTCATAAGAAATTGTGGAAATGTTTCTGGTTCGATGCAGCTGTATTTGTCTGAACTTGTTTTAGATGATATCAAGGCACTGATACCTGGAAACGATTTGTCCGATTATGAATGATGTGATAATTTATCTTTGATAAACAATTTGTAGCCCTGGAGTTGATACTTCAAAAATGATACAAACCAAATAGTTATATTTTACTTTAAAAACTCTCGCTGGAATAGCGAATAGAGACAAAATGCTAAATACAAGCTTTGTAATTGCTCATGAAAACATAAAACTTAATTGTTAGAGCACATTTCATTACTTCTGGTGTGTTAGAACATATTTGCATGCATATTTCTCCTTTTGATACAGCATTAACGTCTTAGTTTTAATGAATTACAATGAAATTAATACATCTCGACGAAGTTGAAAATGATGTTTACAGTAGCGCACAACTATTTGAGTGAACAGAGTTGGAGAATATAAGGATACTCATCTCAAATTAAAAATGGGCCTATACCAAACTGTTACAGGAAAAAAAGCACGATTTATTTCTTCACAAATCTAATATCTTTCTAATGAGTATTTTAACTGTGTGTACACATGTCTGCACCTCCTATTGGAAGAAATGTTTCCTTTTCTCTGCAGACTGATTCAAAACTTTGATTGAAATCCTTAGATAAGCAGAGTATTTGAACTCAAACATTCATATAAATCATGTACTTTAACAAGTAGTTTCTCAGAATATATACCAAATAAAATTCCATTTGATGAAAGAAAGAACTGCCACCATAATGAAGAATATTATAGATGCTTATGGCAGTGAAGTTACAGTTTCGGTACTTTATTGTGTATCTAACAAATCTCATAAAGTCTACTTAAACAAAGACAAATGAAGAAAAATACAAAATGTTTAAATTTGAGTACTACAAATTTAATAAAAAAGAAATCGTTTTTTGTTATATTCTTGTACGAGGACTGAAAAGGGAGAGACAAAGCAACTTAACATGCCCCCTCCCCCCCAAAAGTTAGTACAAATCTTGTATAATGTTTTGCAAATCTCGTGTAAGTTTCATTAAACTACAAACATCGTAAACATTTCATCAAACAAACAAATCTTATGCAAGTTTTCTGGCAGCTGTCTAAGAGAATGTCAGTGTCACTAGATGATTCACTGTTACTTTCCAGTCCAATACTTATTTCTGTCACCGACAGAATTTTCAAGCATCAAGCATTTTGCTGTTTTATTAGTATGAGTGACAGTTTTTTCCAATCTTCAATTGCTTCAGACATCATTATTTTTAAATTAGAAAGTGACATTTAATACACGTTTCTTCATACACTCTCACCTTCATTTTCACTAACACAAAATGTAATTACATTGTAGGCAAGGCGAGCTGCCTGCCCGTGAAGTGTCATACCTCGATGAGAACTCACATTTCCCAAAGCTGCAATGATAAACCCGCTTCACGCTCCTTGCAACTTGAAAATGACTGCATAGACTCGTGTTTAAAGCTACTTCCGTAATTGCCTCTTTCATTCTTCGCTTGGTCCAGTAATGTTTATGAAATTAATGCCATTCTTCACACTACTCAAAATTATACAACTAGACATCTGGCATGACAGTAGGAATTAGTTATAGTGAAGCAAACTTCAAGTGAATTAAAATATGAACAGTGCTTTGCTGAACCATGCAGTACAAAAATTACCATAGTTTTAGAGTACAATCTTGGTACAGCAATTCTGATAATTTCACCATTCTTCCGTCTACCCATTAGCTTCAAACACCATCTAGCCCTCAGAAAGTAAAAAGCATCAAAAAGCCACATGAGGAATATACTGAATTAAATAAAATAACGTTTTTTTCTGCAAATAGTGTATATTTTTATAAAGTTCCACACACTAAGAAAGCACCTTTAAGGTGTACATACTAAAACAAAAAGCAGGCTGGTATAGGAACTGATAAAATACAATACAGTACAATACATTACATTACAATACACAGTTCTTATAAAATCTCAATAAATACATTTTTTTACATGTATGTTTATTTATAGGTGAATACCAGTAGAGAGAATGTTGCGAATAGAATGTGAGTATACAGGAGCCTAAAGAGCACTTAGAACTACATGGAGCAGGCTCCTTGATAATGACATGATACACAGTTCCACGTAGGGCAGACCACAACTGAATGACATTTAACAATACTCAAGAGAACTGAAGTTGCTTACTGGTCCCTCAAACAATTATTGTAAAATACTTATTCACTCATACATATTAACATTGGGGATTGTAGAGCAGATAAATGCTTAAATGAAAATGAATTCACAAAAAACAAAGACAATAAATAAGAGGATTTCCTCTTTAAAACATTTCACAGGACAACATTTTACACTTAAGTTTTTCTACTCAAAATTAATGTAGGAAAGAAAATGCAAAATATCCTCAAAACAATACCTCTTATAAATATACACATTAAAAAATGAGCTGCAGCACTATTCTACAGTAATTTCATTGGATGAAAGTTAAATGTTATTAGCAGTGGACAATGAGAGCACATGAACCTAGTTGGTTGGGACCATCCTAACTTGCACAAAATTATCCATTGACTAGAAACCCTGTAAGAGACTGGAAACATCCATGTCCTTCAAGTTATCGTTGTGTGAATTCGGAAGGCCCCACATTGATATCAACAGATGTGTTTCATTGTGCAGAAGCAATGACTCAACTTTCATCTCCTGCATTTATGCTATCATGTCTCGAAGTGTCGATAAATTGCTGTAACATATGCCATCACTTGGTTCCAGTCTGGCCTCTCCAGTTGGATCATGTCAGACACATTCTGGAATAGAAATACACACAAGTGACACTTAATTCTCTTGAAGAAAATTACACTCACAATGAAAAAACATATTTAAGTTACTAACATTCTAAGTGAATAATTTTTCATTCCCAGCTGCCTTTTGGTCTCACAATAATCAAACACTTTTTGAGCATTTGTATACAATTGTGAATAAATAAATAAATAAAAATAAAACAAAAAGAGAGAGAGAAAAAAGGGAGGGGGAAAATACAAATATATAAAAATAAATAAATAATCTTTGGTAGTTGGACTGACTTTTAAGAACTTCACTGAAACTATACAGGTTTGACATTAAAATCGTGAAGTATGAAGTCCCTGCTACGGAACAAAACTGCAATAAACTTACCAAAGTAGTAGGTATTCCCACAGACTCTGCTGCCGCAAATGCTATGGTGAAATTACGCCTTTTCTCTGAAGGCGAGAGTGTGTCGTAAGGCACCCGGTCAGGCAGATAGGAGTGCAGAAGAGCACACAGAGCAAGGCCATCGTTCCAAGAACTTGAGAAATTCGTTATGTCGATGTTCCGGTAGCCAACGGTTTTGTGCTGGCACCACTTGAGCAATGCATTACGCTTCGAACCTCCATTTCGAACAAGCAGCCACAGAGGGTCCTTGCGCTCACCTGCAGCAAGCAGAAATATTACATTAGTTAACTCCCAGAAGCATGCAATTTTAGAAAGAAATACAATAAAAGAAATATGCAGTAAACCCTCATTAGCACGAATGTACTTAACACAAATTTCGCCTTAACACAAACCAAACTTCGGTCCCAGAAAGGAATTACGGTGATACGTAGATTTATAATTCTCGGATAACATTCATTTTTAACCACAAACTCAGATTATTTTGGTCCCTTGGAATTTGTAATAATGAGGGCTTACTCTAATAACTTTCATGGTAAATGGAAATAATTGACAAAAATTTGAATTTCATAAGATATTGTAATTTGACTGGCTGTTTTGCACAAATATTAACTCTATAAGAGAAAGAATAATTAACCAGACAAATGGATGTGGAGCGAAAACAACAAATACAATGTCAATAAAACTTTGTGGCCAAGTTGACAACCTTGGGGACGCATTTATTCAGCTGTTCGATCATAACAAACATTAAGATACGTTCTTACAATTATTCCAAAGGTCAGCTCCACTTGAAACGGACACTGGCAAGAGCAACATTTAGTAATAAGATGGGTGGTGAAGAGTGTTTAAAGCAAGCAGTAGCTAGTGCACATGGGCTGAACAGTAAACCTCTGATGGAGACTTGTCACTAGTCTCCCATCACACAAAACTAGTTATTTTGACTCTCGCTCTGAAAACTGCAATGATGACATTCACGAGGATAGGAGAATCAACATTCCCAAAATTGCAAGTTTATGTAACGTTAGAGTTGAAAGTATGTGTGACTGGGAGAAACACTTGGACGGTGTTGCTGTATTTTCTTTTCAGCTCAACCAATTTTCTTACGTTCAGTCCTTTCAAAGACTTCTTCAGCAGCGAGCGAGTTGACAACATCATAGCAGGACACAAATGGTTCAATCAGCAAAGTGAAGATTTCTCTGCTTTGGGAGTAAAAAGCTCACACAACAGTGGGATGTAACTGCAGACTATATTTAAAAGTTGTGTAAGTTTCCTTGTCATTGAATCAGTTGTTTCTTTCTACACCAATTTGTCACATGAAATATTGAAAGTCCCTCATACTTATTTTAATTTGCTAATACTAAGCTGGAGATGTAATCCCAAGAATCAACCTCAAATGACTTACTTTTTCTGAAATGAAAATAACTAAAAACACATTTCAAGGATTCTAGATCCACACTTACTGAGGTCACTGTAGCTGCTTCTTCGTGTGAAATCAGACACAACTGAAGATACTGGGGGCAGAGATTTTGTGCTGGTTAAAATTGAACTAGAAACCTCTTCACTTTTTGTCACAGGTTTATCTGCTGCACAAAATGTACCAAAGGTAAATGAACGTAATACCTTAATCAGAAACTAGAGCTTAGAACAAGGTGTAGTAAATGTTAAATGCACTTCAAAAGAACTTGTCAAGCCATTCATCAGAAATACGTAATTCACAATACAAAAATTCATATAATTCCTAATTCTTTCAATCTGATTAACTTTATAAGGAAATTTCATTATTATAATCAAGTGTACAAAAAAGGGCAAGTCACATTACATTTATTAAAATCATAAAATATTTAATAAAATACATGTATATTTGGTGGTAATTTAATCACATATTCAGATACACAAGCTGTAAATTGAGAATTAAATAATAGTTTATGAAAACAAACAACAATTGATTAAAATGAGCAACACTTTTTTAACAGTTGAGAACAAAAACACTAAAGAAAAAATATGGAGAGGCAGACAAGAACTCACCTTCACGAAGGTACTACGAAACATTAGAATATTTTAAGTTACTAAAGTTATGAAATACATTTATGAGAGAGAGTTCCAGACTTCCTCTCCCTCTCCAGGTTTTTACCTCTGTGCTTCTGTTAATTGTTAATTAGCTTTCTTAATATTTGCTTACACTCTCAATTTACAGATTAGTATGTACTTGAAGATGTCGTTGACCGTTACCACAAAGCACTGTACATATAATTGATTAAATCTTCTACGATTTTAATAAATGTATGGGGAGAATTGCCCTTTTATTTACACTTGATTGACTATAGATTCTGAAGATTCTTACGAAATTTCCATAAAATAAATACAGTTAAGAAACTTGTCAGTTTATCACCAACATCCAAGTTTGCCAGTTCAATTTATTTTAACTCCAGAATAATGTATATTTAATTGCACCACTTATATTTAATTGATAAATTCATTCCATTTTTTGTTAAAGAAAGAGCAAAGAAACTAATTCTGAAAATTATTTTTTTAATTTCTAATATACAAAATAATTTACCTGTAAGGGTAGGGTTTGTAAGTTTGCGTAAACTTGTCTGGTTATTCAACTGTTGCTGATCACGAAGGGGAGCTTTTGGAGGTAGCAAATTGTTACTGTTTTCTGAAGTGGGGATTTCTGAAACCACTCTCCGTACTTGTGTGGGTGTAGGAGTAGTCCCATCCCCAACACTGGAAGTTGAACCGCTGCGACTTCGTCCACCTGCATCAATTAGATCACCTGTATACCTTTTCAGTTACCATAGAGAGACAAATAATATTATGAAAACGTATAAAAGCTAATGCAACAAAGTTTAATGTGAAATATCAACAAAACTAACATTCCTTGAACCTGAAAAAAAGAAATGAATCATAACATTTCCATAACTTCCAAATTTCCATAAAGTCCAAATGTGAAAATCATTGCGAAATTTGGGTAAAGAATTTAGTACCAATGCTATTTTGACAAATCACAACATTATAAAATATAATTTTAAAAAAGGAAATAATCTTTGAAAGTATTGCAATGTCTTTTATTTCGATACATTATAGTATATTCAATTTTTGGCCGATCCGGAGGCCGAGATCGCCAAGGCAGTAGTGCCGTAGCAATCTCGTACCGAAAGATCGTGGGTTCGAGTCCCGCCTCGGGCATGGTTGTATTGTGTTCATCCTTTCACCCCCTATCATCCATCATCCTCTATCTCTCATCATCACCTTTCTGAATAACATTCAGAATTGTAACTCGAGGATTTATCCTCACCTCAAGGTGATACCTTCGACAGTCGACAATAAACAGTAAAAAAGTGAAGTGGAACGACTCAAGTGGTCCAATGTGGCCAATCAAGTTAATAATAATAATAATATTCAATTTTTGCACTCATTTAAAATAAAGAAAGTGTGATTCATAACTGAGCAGAAGTCATAAGATTAATAATTAAATGGAAACTATACAAGATAAGTTTGTCTCAAAGTCATCACTACTTATCATTTAGCATTAAGGAAGCATTCTAAAATGGATGGGATGGAATTGTGAGTTGGGTATGCCTTGCTTAGTACAAATCTTACAGTCATCTCTGCCATATATGCTGTAATTGTAACAGAGCATCATGAAGGTCACGAGAGTATATTTTTGTCATATCTATAGTGACTCCAACGACCAGATCACAAGCAAAATCATGACTGCTTGAAAGGCAGGCACCACACTAAACGAAATTCTTTGAGAGCACAACTAGTTTGTTCTGTTGTATTTTTAAGAATAAGAAGTTTGATAAATTAAAAGGAATTGAATGACATAAATACTTTCCTATAAATGAGCAAATGAAATTCTAGTAGTTTCCAAAATAAAATTATTAATAACAGTGTCCTAACAAAACTATTAGCTCTAGTGAGGTTAATCACTTCAAGTAGATTAGAGAACTTCAATTCAGTACAGGTTGGTAAGTTTCACTCACCAATCTTGGTGGTTTTGGAAGCATTTTCAATGCTTTCGACTAATGTTTTAACAGACAGCTGGCTGTCTTGCCGAGAGACGCCTGTTGATCGCACCCTGAGGGTGGGGACTTCCACAGTGCTGTCTGACACTGGCCGAGGCTGAGGGGGTACAGAAGCAATTGCTGGAGCAGGTTTCTGCTGAGCTGAAAGAAGGAAACAAACCATCGTACACTGCCTCACAGAAGCCAAAAAACAACAACAAAATGATCATTTAAAACACTGGTTTATTGGCATTCCAAAGACTTCAATAAATTAGTATTGTCTTTACCAACATTTTTGTTCATTTCATGAACAGCTTCTGACATCTTAGTCATCATATCTGGTACACGTACTTTAAGAACATACTGTTTAGAACAAAATTATAAATAAAATGATGTTATAAAAAAAATAATTCTGAAACTTATAGTATAGATTTATTAATATTAAACTAAAAAGTTTTAGTTACTAATACAAGGTTGAAGTTTGATTTAAATTTTTATGAGATCTAATGATGAATAAGTCATAAAAATTTGCTCATAAAATAAATAAAAATATTGGTTAAGAAGTTTATTAAAGCTATTAATTCAAAAATTATATTGGCAAAAAATTATCGTCTAATATAAAAATAAACATGGTTTTCCATCCCACACATACTCACAGTACGTAATAGAAAAATATTGTCTTGTTCTGGGACTTAAAATGACGAGTGAGTGTCTGTGCATTATTTAAATTTCTTCCACAACATAAAGGATTAAATACAAAAGTCAGTTTCACACATTTCTTATTAAAAATAAAATTATGCCATATTACATTTGAAACAACACTATTACTAAATTTCTAATTTTTAATAGTTCATTATGTTCTTTTAACATCAATTTTTAAATTTCAGGTTATTTAAAAAAATGAAAATATTACAAATATTTGGATTTTAGAATTTTTCGCAGTTAAAAAAAATCTGTGACAAAAATTATAATTTAAACGTTAAACTTTTACAGAAATCATCATTATATATACTTTTAGGGAGAAATCCAACCCAAATATTAAAAACCAGTTTCGATTTAAGGCATGTTTCAATTCACAATTCATTGAGAAACATTCATCTACGAGGATTTAGGCACCATCATGTTGCATGCACTGAATAAATTAAAGATGTCATGACTTGGACACAAAAGCAAAATAATTAATCTTGAAATAAGAAACAAAGCAACAACACAACGTAGAAGTATAAAACAAATGCTTGTCAAGCAATAATGGCAGACAGAACAATCCCTTTTCAAACATCCACATCACAAAGACAATGTTCCTTTAAGCCCCACCGTATGCACAGAGCAAAAGAGCAAATGTTCATCACACTCACAAGAGTTTGGTCGAAGTAGTGAGATGTGACCTTTGGAAGATATTCGCCGCAATTGCACATCGTACACCAGCTGGTTCTCCTTGAACCAATTGGACCAGCCAGCTTGATCGCTGTATGGAGGAACAATTGCCAGTGATGGCAAAGGCCGAGTAGGATTTTCATCTTGCATTGGAAGGAAGCTGAAGGAAATGTTATCCAAATGTGGATCTGAAAAGGACTTCTTCTTTGTCTTAGCCTCCGGTTTCTGAGGGGAATGAAATGTGTACTTGAAAGACGGAGGCAAGAGCGACCTTCTCATTCTGGGTTCAAGACCTATGAATCCTTTAGTCACGGGTGCCCTCCTTTGAAGGCGCTGAGATCGAAATGGAGGTGCGTTTCTGTGTTCACTCCGGTCTTCTAAAATGGAATCTAACGATCTCACTTTATGCAAGCGACCTGCTCCTCCTTTCGAAATTCTTCCCATAAACAAATCATCTTGTGCTTTAAAAGGCTTTAAAATTCCAATTCGCTTTTGAGATCCCTGAACTGACTTCTCTGTATTGCTCAACTTTTGAACTTGTGATCGAGAACCAGAAATACTCTCTCGGAAAGCAGCTAATTTTTGTTTGGGTTCTGAAAGCAACTTGTCCTTCAATGACAGAATACTAGAAAATAGTCCGCCTTTTGGTGAACTTTTGGGTGAAGCAGTTGGATCCTCAGTAGAACTAGGAACATTATTAGCATCAGAACTCAATGGAGTCCATTCTGTATCTCTGTTTTGACCAAAAGTACTGTTAATTAAAATTTCTCCACTTGGTATTATTGTATTATCTCCAATCCTAGCAAACATTGATGATCTTTGTGGTTTGAACTCTATATATTCATCATCAGATGCACTACCCAAAATTTCCAACTGTCTCTTTTCAATTTCACGTAAATGTGAATTCAGTGTGTTTGTTTTCTCATCTGATAAAGACGAAAGAGCGTTAGGAACTGACAGAGAATGGAAAGGTCGGTGAGAAGGATCAATTTTTGCATATAAACCTTCCAGGTGAACATTTACGTATTCAGGATTTGAAGAAACATTTGGCAATGACAATCTGGTGTCTTGAATAATTTCATAATGTGAATCATCTACTTTTGTAGGATCAATGTTTTCTTTTGGAAATGTGTACGTAAATTCAGTATCGAAAATTAACTGGTCATCAAAAGTAATATTTTTATTTTTATTTTCATTCTTGACAACAGTTGCATATAACGGTTCGACAAAAATAGTTGAACATTTTTTAGCTGTAAAAAGCGATTCTTCAAATTTTGGCAGTGCAACATTTAAATCAGATGTGTCAGTTTGCTTGTCTACTAATTCTTTCATGATAATAGACATAACTTCTGGCTTCATCTGTATTTTTCTGGGATGGGCTGTGTCTGACCAACGAGTGTGTTTCTTCTGGACTTCCGGAATGCTCATGATATTTCGAGGGTTGCACTGATGCTGCTTCTTCAACAATCGTCTGACGTATTTATTTGATGTATGGCTGCGTACGCTTGGCAACAAAACAGGCTCTGATCTTGGGCGTTTCCTAAGGACTTGCTTCCTCTCTTGTGTAACATCTGGCAGGCTCACAGACCTCTCTCTCAACATCACTGGTTGCAGCATATCCAGTTCTCCTGCCCTCAAGCAGACGGGGAAATAATCCAAGACACTACCTATAACATCACCATATCCTACCACATTTCAATGAGTTGCCTGACTCTTCACAAAGAGAAACATTAACTTCAAAGTAGTGAAGTGTTTTAAATATGTATGCAATATAAATAATTTAGTAAAACCAATTTATTTTGTATTTAGCAAAAGAATATATGGTCCATGTCTCCAAAGAAAGCATATTTACTTTGCCATAACTGATACTAATAACTTTAAAATGTTTAGAAACATTGTAATCTGCACAAACAAGAATATTAATTGATTAAATTTTAAAGTATTCCTCAATAATCTCTGTTATTAAATAAACCAGTTCAATACGTGATGTTTTACCATACAATCAAACCTTCTGTGCGGTGGTTTTACAAACTCTAAGTATCATCAGCCCTTAAGGTACTTATCTACAGTGCAACTCTGTTTATATATTTCATACTTTAATGTTTTTCAAATTTATATGTTGTTGTTTTTTTGGTAAGTCCCCGATAAATTCCTATAAATCCCATGCTAAATTATTTCAGACATATGTGTTATGTTTATAAGTGTTTCACACTTATGTTTATAATAAAAGCCCCTGAAGAGACCTCTTGGCTTCTGAGGCAAATTCCTGTTAATAAAACTTGTAATATAGAAGCTCGACTCTGCCTATATATTATTGCTGAGGGGCGAAGACCGCACGAGCTTGCGGGGTAGTAATGCAAAGTTGGCACCCAGACCACCTCCGGCAGCAGGACTTCAAAAAATTTCAGAGTTGCTATGGAAAGGGAATTGGAGACTGAAGATAATTTTAATTTCCGAGAAACCTATATGTTTTTGACACTTTTTAAATTTTCAATCACACAATGCAATTCAAATATCACATTCTAAATAAAAACATGATATATAAATTTATTGCTATGTTTAAGAATTCAGAGATAAATTTATAGATATTTTAAGACTAACACATTATCATGGAATATGTTTTATGCACTACTGCACGCTATATGCGAATGGTAAGGGTAAATACACCAAAACAGACTTTTTTTATTAGTAATTTTTTTGAACTGCATATTGAATTCTTCTTCAATGGTAATCTCTTTTCTAATAAAACAATAGTGTAAAATTATTGAGTTTTTATTTTGCTCGTAATATTCTATTTCAGTTATGTGTTTTTCTCACTTATACATTTTTTCCCTTCAGTCCCCTGCAAAAATGCATAAGTGAAGTATTACTGTACTTAAAGCTTCATAATAATGGTTGAAAAATACATTATTTTTGTTTTATTTATTCTTTTGCTTTTTAAAAATGTATTTCTATATTATTTACCGACACTTCAAAGCAATTTCATAAAGTAATTTTACTTTTTGAGTGAAAAATATTGATATAATATAACACTAATCTATAATTAAAAAGGAACTGAATTTATCTCTCATTTTAATTATATCTAAAATACGAGATGAAATTGCAAAATGAACGATGTTATTTATAAGTTTTTAAAGGGTTTATCAAGGGAAAATTCGTTATTCTTAATATTTGGTATTACCTGGTATTTAAAATTCACAGAAGACAATGGAAATGTATGACATATTCTGTTACGTCTCCAAATCAAAATTTATATCATAATACCAAGAAAAATATACTCTAAGGACTTGGGTAAGTAGTGTGTGTTGTTTTGTCAAGAATTCAGTACCAACCAATATAACAACTTTCATTGTAGTTATTTACCAGTAAGTGCATCCAAAGCTGCCTGAAGAGTAGATACACGTTCCTGCAACGACGATCGTTCCATCTCGGCCTCCATCTTGTGGTCATTTGCTACCCGTACAGCTACTAACAGATCTGACTGGAATTGTTCCCATTCGCTGGCCTAGGTAGATGCAAATCATTATCTATTGTTTTCAATCATTACATTACTACTCACTCAGTTTGAATTTCTTTATTACTTTTAGTTATTAAGTGAGTAAAGTGTGGGGGTGTGAATCCCAATTTAAAAAAAATATAAACATTCTTTAGTGAAAAAATTAGAGTGGAAGCCAGGATATTTCCAGGTTTGAGAATGGGAGCAAGGCAGAGAGTGGTTGGGCAAGACAAAGCTAGTATACAATAGAACAGATTCAATTAGACTCTGTGTCAGGGAGCGAATAGATAGAATACCCTATTTCTGTCTGATATTTTACTGTAAACAAATACACCAGTAACATGGAGTACTTCAGCTAGTATAATATAATTATGCATTCTATTAAATATTAATTTCTTTTGCAAATAATTCATAATTTACATGTTTCTGAAGTGTTTATATGCTTGTGCAATGCAAATTTTTGCCTAGAAACTTCTCAACATACCTCTGTTTTCCGTTGCTTCTTCTCTTCAGCCAGCTCTGACTCCAGTCGCAGAGCTCGCTGTTTCTCGTCTGCCAAGAGTGCCTGCAGCTGCTGGCTGTGCGCCTGCAAAGTGATCTGCGCCGCTTTGGCCTGCGCTGCCCGCTCCTCTTCCAACGCCTCAGCAGCTGCCTCGCACTGCTTCCGAAGGGCCTGCACACACCAGCCAACACAAACAAACGTAATGAATACTCTCTGTTAATAATACTATTAAGACATCTTGAAGGTGAGTTCTCAAACATTTTATAGACAGGCAATTTTATAAAATTTTTCTTCATTATTTGGGTCTCCTCATGATTTGCTACATCCCAGAAACTATTAATCATGATGAGACATGATGGTCTCATCATGATTGCTTCAGTTTCAGGGATGTAGCAAATCATGATGAGACCCAAATAATAAAGAAAAATTGTATAACATTGTTTCACTGCACAATTATTCGGGACTCCTCACAAATCTGACAAATTTATATCTTTAAGAGAAGGACCAATCGATCTACTTTAATTCACTTTCACAAGAACAAAAGACATATACATTCTTGATTCTCATTACATACTGTAATGACTGCAAAAAGCAATTATCTTGTTTTCCAGGAACATATTCGTACCAGTGTTCCAAAGGGCAACATTGTTCCCCTCCACTCACAAATGTTAATCACTAACTTTTACTTTCTTGCGTACTACTGACTTAATGCAGAAAAAGAATTATAAGCCTGCAGCAAAAAACAGAATTTTTTAATATTGAACATTAGAGATACACTACATGAAACAAAATGTAAACAAACTTGCTCAAGGTAGGGAGGGAGGTCAGACATTACAATTTACCTGACACTCTTCCCTGAGGGCTTGAATCTGTTCTCGAGAGAGGGCCACATCTCCTTGGCTGGAACACAGCTGCTGCTGCAGGGCTGACAATCTCACTTCAAGAGCCTCTTTCTCACACCGCATCACCTCCAATCGGTGCTCTAGTTCCCCAAGTTCAGGAGCTCGTAGCTGCTCTTCAAGTTCGCCAACCTATCAGAAGCAAATGTTTTTGAAAACTGGCAATCCAGAACTCCTTATGAAACAAATCCTTTATATTGGACTTGAAATAGTTACGATTGGTAAAAATCTTCAAGGTTGAGAATTCAAAGTTATATTAAGAAAATTTAATGTTCGGAGCCTAGTTGACAGGAGGATACTGACCATGATTATTTCTTTTATTAAAATATTCTGAAATATTATTAGTTGTTCTTGTCCATACATACAGGGTCAGAACTCAGTGTTGATTCCAAAACACGCTCCTCGATTTTATAAGCTCTTGTAAACCTCAGTTCTAAAGATAACTCTCCATTATACAAAATGATTGTTAATGTTAACAATTCATGCACGTGTTATTGATTTATTCACTGCTTATATTTTAAGATATATAGAACTGCTCTATGGTACGTTACCACCATTACTAATAAGACATAACCATTTGTATAATGTAAGAAAAAGAAGAAGGAAAGGAGGAAGAAAGAAAAAAAAAGAGTGAGAGAGGGGACAGAGGGGAGTGAGAGAGGGAGAGAGAGAGGAGGAGGGAGAGAGAGGGGGAGAGAGATAAATCAATTGACCCTCACAAAAGGCATTACAAGAAGGAATAGTAATGGTCTTGCACATTTCCATGTCACGAGGCTCACAGGGACAGTCAATCTTCACATGCTATCACAAACAGAGGTTTCCAGGCAATGAAATTTTGCAAGTCTTAATATGCCCAGGGCAGTCAAATGATTGATGAATTAAATGTATTACAAAGGTTTTATTAATTTATTTGTAGTTGCGAATGTTTTTTTTCTTTTCTTCTCTTTTACATCGAATGCACTATAATTAAATAATTAAACATAACTTCACTAGCATAATACTTGGTGTTCCCAGGGTTTTTTCATATCCAATCTTTGTGAAAAAGAAAAAAGATCAATAAAATATAAATCAAAGTGTTTTGGAATATTATTTAGCACATACCTAGCAAGACTGTTTACTCAAGTACTCTCTCATAAATGTCTGTGTGTTGTCAGTTGTTCTAAACAATGGCTGCTAAAAATAGCACATGCAACTTCAAACACATTAGAAAGAAATACGTTTCTTTCAAAATGGCTGGTTGCAACCTTAACCAACCCAACAAGAGGGATGCTACGCTATCTATTGCTGAATAAATGAATTAATGCCGCCATTTGCTCCGATTCGGCCATGGCAATGCAATGGTTAAAATTAAGCGCAATTTTGTTCTGCAGTGCCATTTAGTAGAGTTATAACAAACATATCAGCATATAAACCTTCTGGGTGAAAAAACATAGATGTCATCTTTCATTGAGATTGGTCATACAGAATTGGAGTTTACTGCTCATGTATATAACCCTGTTTATTTAGACAGACAAGACACATGTGTAGACAGACAAGACACACGCCCATGCACACAGTATTTACCTGAATATAGACTAATTTTTTTCTGAAATATCTCAGTTGAAAAATGTGGGGTAGTCTCACATTTGCAGATTTAGCCTAGTCAGTTAGGATTTACATTTTACATTGCCATTCATAAATGTAGATGTAACAATAAACGGCGAAGACGGTAAAAATATCACTCATAATATGTAATTATATTCACGTTCGTATTTTCGGCATACAACGTGAATTTGTCAGGGCAATCTGGACCAATATTTTTGAGTGGGCGGGAAAAAAGAGAATCTCCAACCAAATGGCATTGTATCAAATGAAATGAAACGTGAAAATGAATGCCAAGAGTTTGTTTCATAATGCGAGTTCAAAGAGGCCATGCGGAATCTCAGTTCCTTGCCTGGCGCATCCAAATCTGCGTTTTCTACAGAAACAGAGGCCATCAACAAGAGTGAGACATATAGAAAATCCGGCAAATGAAGGGAATGTACTTAGATGGCGTCTGATCAAAGACTATGAGCAACACTTAATTTACTCTGCAAAACTTTCAAGAGGGTCCCAAAAACTCAAAAAATGTCACAAAGGGAAGGAGGTCCATAAAGAAAGAAACATAGGGTACATGTGAAGATGATGGGGTAGTGACAAAAACCATGATTATGAAGATATTTAGGAAAAAGAAAATAATAGTTCAGCAATAAGTCTTAACATTCTCATCAACAAGGCAAGTTTCTAGTCTAAAAGACATTTTATAATTTTATTTTGACTAAATAGTAAGAATTAGTTAAAAATTAAAAAAATTTTCAGGAAGCCTCTTCAAAATTAGGGTGTTGTATTATATTCGGGTAAATATATTAGATTCCTCTCCTCCTCCTTACCTTAGCCATCTGATTCTCCAGCATGGTGGCAAGCTTCTGGTTCTCAGCCTCCAAAGACCCCTTCTCCTGGTGCGCTTCTGCCAGCTGCACCTGCAAGGCTCGGAGCTCTGCCCTCACTGAGTCTGCATCTGCCTCCAGCCCCTGCACCCTTTCAGCTGCCCGATGTGCTTCTTCATCAGCAGCAGTGAGCTCAGCTTCCAGTACTCTGACCCGTGCTGCAAGGTGGATTTCACTGAGAACCAGACCTTCGTGCCTGTCTTTAGCGTTCTGGAAAAAGCAGAAATTATCGAGATATGAGCTCAATTTTTTTTCAAGCACACTAACATGCAACACTACCCGGACTGACACAAAATTTTACCAACTTTATCAGCGCTTTTCAAAAAAAAAGTTGTAGGTACAAATTTTTTAGTGCTATGAAACACTGAAAGCAGTGTTTCCGCAGCAAATAGTATTCAGACCTTTCATGACTTCACCACCTGTTAGTGTGGATACAGCAGCCTGCTGCTATGAAATGTTCGGGTTAAGCAAGTTGTTATGTATATGAAGGGATTCTGATTTTATTCTGTGCCAGTACCCATTTTCAATTTGTAGAACACGAAAATTAACGTGAAAATAGACACTAGCACAGAATAAAAAAAAATACCAGAATCTCTTCATATACTGCAAAACCATAACAAACCTTTTCTTAACCAGGAAATCCCTGGTCTCTTGTCACCTCTGCTAAAATTAACCCCAGGTATATACCCCTAACTCCACTTGCCTTTGTCCGCCCGCCACCTTCTCAAGACTCCACCAACCTCGCCTCTGTTGATCCTTTGGTGGTGCTGCCTCTACCTCACCCCCACATGCTTCTGACCATTGTTCTGTACTCTTAATCGAATCACAGTCTCAATAAACCACAGACCTTTTGTTTCTTTGTATACAGTTGAACCTGGACAACAATTTTTATTTATTTTTTTGTAAGAATTATTTCATCAAAATCAGAATTAAATCATCAAAATTAAGTGGTTGCCTTATATTCAGAGTCATCTTATAAATAAGTATATACAGAGTAGCATTTCTTTGTTATATTTCTTATTCTCTGAAAAGTTGTGAAGTCTTTACCTTTAATTTACAAGGTAGTTATTATTAATCCAGTCTAAGTAAATAATTTTCATTACTCAAAAGGTACCTCCAAATAGAAAGGCATGAATAATATTGGCTTGAGTATTTTGATGGGAAAAGCTGATGTCAATTAGATTAACAGAAGATCACAGCACTAAAATAAGTAAACACCCTTCAAATTCATATTGTGATATGTTTGGGAAAATTTACTAATAACCTTTCTGGAATTGTAGCCTAAAGGGACATTCTCAATGAAAATATAATGGAACGATGAGAGGAGCTAAACAATATTCTGAACATAATCACTGATGTAGCACTGTCAGCATTTACATAACAATGACTGTAAATTTGAAGACCACCACTTATCAACATACCCATACAATAAATAGAGTAATTTTGTAGTTTACCAATCAACAGGAAGTAAAAAGAACACAACCTTGTTAGGATGAGAATTATTTCTTATGCTCTAAGAAATATGAAAGATTCTTTGTAGCAGTATAAGAGCAATAATGATAAAGTCAATTTATGGTAATTCAAATTGCATTAGCTTCAAAGAAAAATGCTAGACATTGTTTGGATCTCGCTATGGTGCACGATAATGCATTGTTCTCGAACCATCAACATGAAAGCTTGGAATTTAAGAAAGTTTATGATAATATCTTAGGTTTATGTCCATGCTTACACTTACATTCACCTTTAAGAAATGTTCCATAACTTGACACAAACCATTCTTTACGCTTTCAGTTCACTTTGCACTTTGCCAGTGTTATTGACAATGAGCCTTAAGGACAGGTAGAGAATTACCTGCAGGAGTTCGATTAGCGCACCGTCACGATCTGTGCAGCCGCGCAGGAGCAGCTCCTGCAGAGCTTCATTGCGGCCCTGGGCCTCCTCCAGGCGCTGCGTCTGGCGGCACAACGACTCCACCAACGCAGCGTTCTCTTGTTGCAATCTCGAGTTATGCCCTCCCAGTTCTGACAACTGCGACTGAAGATCTGCCAGCTCCTGCAGTGTTGCAGCCAGTTCCTCACTTGTACTGCACACAAGAAAAATCACCATGATTAATTAAGATGATGATGATAAAGAGTTTAAGGTTACCTTAATAGCCAAGGTCATTGGTACCTGTGTCAGATTATTTTAGGACTAGTACATATTGTTGCAATGCAAAGCTAAAAAAATATTTTAAATGGAAAGTAAAAAGTAAGTAAACGACCTGTCCGATTACAAAAGGGTTTAGAAGAAAAGATCTAGATAAACACTTTGAAATCTCCGACTAAAAGCCAAATAATTGGCATTATCCTCTTCTCTCAGATGAGGCTGTAGATGTTAGTCTCCCGTTAAAAGCTTGCAGAGAGAAGATTCATCTAAGTATCTACGTTAGAGAGCTAGCAAGGTGATGCCTTGGGCGGCTCTCTCTTATCTTCCCACCGTGCAAGAGAACAAGCTCCCCACAGTGAGATTAGTTTTGCAGTAATCGCATATAGGGGATAGGTCCCTGCAAAGAATGTATCCGTGGGAGAAATGGCAGTGACCTCTCTGAAGGCATAGTATAATAATCTCCTTGCATCTAGCCCCACAAGATGAGGAAAACGATTTGCAATTCTCTGAGAAAGGGTTGAAAAAGAGCTTAGTATCTCCCACGGGGACTGTAATTATTTGTCTCTTTTCTTTGTGGTGAACTTTGGTGCCTGATCAGCTATTTTGTTTCCTACTATTTTTAATTAAGGTGGATAATAGGAAAAGTTATATATGATTTTGCTTAGCATGACGAGCCTCTGACACAGCACTTGACTAAATAATTTGTAACATTCAGATGGCAGACTACCATGAAAAGTGTATGCATGTGACAGGTTTATTGTAATGCTGAAGTTCAACATAGGGCATGTCATGAATTTCATCCAGCACTATGAAGATCATCCTATCACGCATCGCCCTCCTTCATGCCATTTGAGTTTGCAGCTCTAGCTACCTTAAACGCTCAAAGGAGGCATTTCTGAACATAGGTCATTCAGTGATTACATAAATCAACAATAAATTCTGTTCTTAATGAGAACTAAAAAATGGTTCCCTTTCTGCAACATTTTCAGTCTGCCATGCTAAGCCTCTCTTAACTATTCTTAAAAGACAAAAAAAGGTATTTCATATGGAACTCATAAAGTTTGTGTTTTTACAATGCAGAAATTAAGATTTGACATTTCACAGCAAAGAAATCTTTGGAAATGCATTAAAAATACACAATAAATATTTGTCCTAATTCTGACAGTGCTGTCACCATTCCTTTTTAGAAATCACTACAGACAATAATAACATAAACTATCTGAATTCTGAAGACACGAGAAAGTAGTAGAATTTCAACCATGCCAACCTGTAGTGTGTTTCTTCCATCTGCAGGATGCGGTCCTGGAGGCCAGCCACAGACACCTCGCTGCTCGCGCCCACTGACTGGCGGTCCTCCCACTCCGCAGGTGGGCGCATGATGCCCATTGGGCTGCTGAGCTCCCCACCAGGCAGCAGCATCTCCTGCCACATGAAGAAAAGACACTTTGTAATTAATACGTTCACTGCCAAGTGCATTCTCACTATACGATAGTACAATTTATTTAGTTGTGCACGAGACGTAAATCAGCTGTTGCGGTTTCCTCCATTCGGGAGCTTAAATGTCATTATAGAGACATCACAATGTGGATGTTAAAGCTTCCAACTGGATGAACAGCTGATTTATGTCACGTACATGGTTAAATAGATTCTAGTATACACCTCAGTACCGTACAGGCTTTTTGCGCACTACAACTCCATGCCAATGGCAATTGACGCACTTCTACACATATTAGAACACTGAAACTTGTACCAATATTTATATATAATACAAGAATAGAATACAAGTATAGAATTAAATTCATTTACAAAATTGTATGAATTCATATGGACTCACAGGAATGTTTTGCAGCTATTAATACTATGATGAGAACAGTAGTGAGTAATAGGAACAAAACAATCCATGAGACCATATGATTTCATACTTAAAAAAAAAAACAACAACAACAACAACAATGTAGTCTTGCATGATAGCCGTGTTAAGGAGTTGGCATTGATTAGAGGCTTCAATTTGTGTTATTTTTATTATTTAAACACTCAAACGTATACAAAAAGAGAATGAGGTCAGTAATAATATTAGAAATTTTATACTTTGGTATCCTTTTTTCTTTTGAGACAATCAATGTACAAGATTTTTTTAAAAATGAGAGTTTTCCTTTTCTAATAATACTCCAACACGATAACACAATGTTTAGAGCAATGTTTGTAAGCATCATGAAGTGTGAACAAAAAAATTAATGTATTTATGTTTGAAAATGACAACAAAGTCATGTTCCAGTATTACGTGAAGAATAAAACTTTTTGTTTTGTTTTGAAAACTTGTACACTGTCAAAAAATAAGCTAGACTTACAATAGCATACAATTTCTCATATTATTTCGACATCAAAACCAAAACGACAAATGTACTGACGGTGCTGCCCGGTGGAGAGGCTGGAGTGATCATCGAGGCTGGCGCTGAGCCCCCTCGCAACAGCAGCTGCTCTTTCTCCGAGTCGGATAGAGGACCTCGTGCCAGGGATGCCAGCCTCGCATGCAGCCCTTCATTCTCTTCCGACAGGCGGCTCACTTCTGCCTGCAACACACCAGCACACTGCATGTTACCACAATAATAGATTTTTTCATTAAAGAAACCAATTCATTACTTATGATTACATACATGTATTATTATTCTTTCTCATCTTGTGTACTTCCAAGTGTGTTTTGTATTTCTAGTTATAACCTTGCATAACTTTTATTTTATTGTGTTGTTTATTTTTGTATGTGTACTTTACATATCCATATCCACTTTCATTCACTTTTTTATTTTTGAATGTATGATTTGTATTTTTGTAAAAATTAGCTTTAAGGACCCAGGATGCATCATTCTCGAGTTGTACCGGTAAGTATATGTATTGTAACATGTGTTGTGGAGTGCATGCACATTTTACTTTTACCTTAATCTGTGAAAATTTCACATCTTAATTCTGTTAGCTACATTTCTCAGGGCAATTCCCTATACAACAGAGAACGTTTGCAGGATTGTGTTCTTATGGTGTCTAATATCTTTGACCCCTGTGAATAAGCTGATAAGTCATGAATGCTTAAATTTTACAGTAGAGCAAAAAATCATTCAACAGAAGTAAATGAGGAATTAATGTTATTCAAACTAAACTATTAGTGTGTATGTTTGGTTTGAAATCATAAATCCCTGATTTACAGAACCAGATGAAATATGTTTTTTTGGCTCTCCTTTAAGCATAAACGGATAATCCAAAGCGGACAATTAACCTCTAAAAGCGAATGTTTGCGATCCCCAAACCAAGTGCACCCCCTATTGGATAGAACTCGAAGCTCTACTTTCACTCAGTGCGCTACTCTTCGATGTCTCTGGCCTTCCCTTTCATTGGAGACCCTTCACTCGGGCGGAAAGGAAATAACATTTTGGTGCCCCAATCAGATTCGAAACCACTGTAGTTCCGATTCCATTTCGAATTTGGATTCGCAAATCGCTCCATAAGTGTACCATACACGTACGTTTTCTTGAGACTAGGGAATACCCCCTCCGTTCCTTTGCTAACAATAGTTGAATTGCGAATAAACGATAACGAGCGCTATGGACAAAACCTGATGCCCAGAAATGTTCGCATCGAAACAAGACCTACAAATTGGATATACAATTCCTTTTCCTTGCGATACGAGGGCTCAAGGAGCGCGGGCGAGAAAGTTGCCATTCCGGGCGACCTTTGGACAGAAGGCGCTGCGCGGCCAGCCAACGGGGCCGCATTCCGAGTGCGGCTGACCCGCGGCCAAGCCTTCTCACCAGCGGATTTGCGGAAACGGATCCACGATTCATTAGTGAATCAACCAGTGGCGGAAAACGTTTTTATTAGAAAACATTCTCATACTACTTGTGTGGCTATACGCTTTTATGAAGAGGGCCTGGATAAACGGAGGGCCCGGCTGGGTGGCACGCACTCATTTCGAAGCGCTACCGCGTTCGTTGGACTCATTAGTCCAGCTAGGAGATGGCTCCCCCACAGGAGACGAGTTTCAGCGCCGGGGATTTCTCCCTCCAGCGGGACACCGATCAGAGCAGCCGGACGCTACAATGGTCCTCCATTCAGCACGTTTCCCCGTGATTCTGAGTTGCATCATTTGAGTTAATAATAACTTCACATTGTCAATTCAATTCTATTTCAGAAAAAATGTATAATAGTAATAAAGTACTTATGACAACACGAAGGAAGGAACTTTACATTGCTAGTTCGATCTACGCATTTCAGCAAAATTTGTAATGGGAAATGTTATGCAAAAACGAAAGAAAGTCGTCTCAACGGCAGCAGGATTTCCGACACGAAGCTACTTCATTTTGTATGTAACAAGCTTTTCGATGACGAAAACTTTATAGCGCACAGTTATCGGAGTTAAAAAAATGAAAGAAAAAAAATATATTTTTTTTGCAATATTCTCTGCGAAGCAGACATTTCTTGTAGTAGCAATTCTAAAATTCGAATTCAGCACCCCAAAATACATATAGAACGAAACGAATTAATCATTTTCTTATTCCATGGAATTAGCCGAGGAAAATGATAAAGGTAACACACACACAAAAGTTGCCAGGCCCAAAAACTTGACTCGTGTTTCTTGAGGTATGTCCGAATCCGAAGCCAGAATTGCGCCACCACCCTCTGTTTATTAAATCCCAAAAAATCATCGTAAAATTGATTTTTTATCGGGGTGGGGTGGGGGGATTGCCATCCCCTAAGACTTGGCACATACATGTTCCACATGTATTTCAACGCGCTGCACCCAAAACTGCACCACCGCCCTCCAATTTTTTCATCATCATCATCATCATCATAAAAACTATGACTCTTGTAAAATGGCATATCATTGCAGGTTCATCTAGCTGTTTGCGAAACACGTGGATTGATTAATGATTTGAAAAGAAAAAGATACAAAAACAAAAACAGACACCCAAACAAAGCTTCACCCATCAAGTCACGTTGGCAGGTTTGCACAATACGAATTGACGATATGATATACCTAGAATAAAGTATGGAGGCAACGAATCTCAGAAAATAATCTCGAGCGCGAGTCATTTCCTTTACCGACGTATTCGCCTCAGGAATGACGCATTCTCACTTCCCCGAATTTGGAACCTGCGACCAATTAACAGAACACCCCTCGGCAACAATTAAAATTTTGTCTTTAAAAACTTCTGCATTACGCGCGTAAAAAAATGTACATCAATTATGACGACTATTCCACGCATGAAATTAAAACGAATAGTGTAGTGTTTAACAATACATACAAAATGCCCCGTCAGGGCAGTGTATCTCAAAAAGTTCATCGCGTTTTCTATCAGATTTTTCATACCACTTCTCGCAACAGGCCAATCACAAACTGTGACTCATCTTAGTAACAGTCTACATCGATCGCTGTGTCGATGTACAATAATCCGCGTATGTATGATAACATAACCTCTTTGATTTTAGCATTGTTATATTCAATGTTTAGCGCATTTTGGAACTGTTGGACATGGTTTCATTCGAGGAATAGTTCAATTAAATACCACTTGTGCTTTGAAAAGTCTCAGATAAATCCCCTCCTCACTTCATGTGCCGGGAATTAATCGACAATTTCCAAAGCACTCGTATTACCAATGAAGATGATAAAGTTATCAGATTTCACGGTAAGATGAGAACAAAACCAAAATACGGTTTACGACATATTTCCCGAACCACAGGCCACGATTCAACCGCCATAAGAGACCACGAAATCGAAAAGTAAGCCCAGAAGTGGAACGGACACCGGAAGCGGGAAAATGTTTGCCGGGAAGTGAAATCGGATGTGGAAGATCGAAACACATTCTCGGAGCACAGAACCCGACGGATCCGAACTGACTCCGCCTAGCAATCAGTGTAGCTTCCGTCCAATGCCGGGATCAACACCAGTCTTGCAATTAAATCTTTCTAAATGTTACACTTGTGTTTTGGGAGGGAAACATACATTTAGCGTCAAAGTCTCGGTCTTATGTTAAGGTCATAAACTCAGTGTTCGCTTTAGACAATGAATTACTCATTTATAAATCGTTCTTTAAGCCTGATTGAACTTACTGCATACAGCTCTGGGGCACCACTAGCAATTCTAACATCCAAATCGAAGATTTCAACGCAAAGAATTAAGAAAAATTGCCAATGCCCCCTGATAGTTCGAAATGAAGTACGAGTCTTATTTTTAAAATACCAACAGTTAACGAAAAAATACAACACAGAGTTTTAAAATTCAAAAATTAGAATGCCATACAAATACTTTAGCCATTAATTTGTTAGACAACAGTTCGGTAAGAAGATACCAAGGCCTCTTACGAAGAACGAATATTGTAGCTCGAGATCCACATACATCGACGAAAACCCAACGATGTCGTCACAACACAGGGAAAAGAACGGGACGTTGGCCGGCAGACTAAATACCAACATCAAGGATTTAAAAACGGCACAACGCTCGAATGCATACGAGGAAGAAGGAAAACAAAAAAGCGTATGAAAGTATTTACAATGGCCACTCATTTCCTGAAACACATTTATCTAACTTTTCCCGGTTTTCCAGAGCGTTTTTTTAAAAATATTTTCACTCATAAGATTAATACAGTATTTCTCAATATTCAAAAGAAAATATTAATCCAAGACAGAAACAAATTCGTTCGATCTCTGCCTCATCCGTGGCAAAGTATTAATTTAAAAAAAACTGATAAATAGAAATGAAGCAAAAAATAAAGCTGAACTGAAGGTTTTAAGGAATTCTAGTTTTATAATAATCTCCAAATTTTTCCCGGCCTTTTACGATTCTTCTTTCTGAATTCTCAAACTTTTTAAGAGCAATGAAAATCCCTGATTTTTTCAGGTTTTCCATAAGTGGATACTTCGAATAAAGAGATAGAAAAAAACTATGTGAGAAGTTGGCGAGAAAATGGAACTAAAATTGAGATTTTTGACATGCATGGGCAGTAAGTTGTGTACGCTCAGACGTAACCAACTGTTTCACTAGTACATGACATTATTCTTTAAGTCACATGACTTTTATCCTTCACTTCATCACACAACGAAGCGATAATATACACATCCATAAACACACTAACAAGACAGCGCATGACTAAACGAACTCCCTATTTCAGATGCAGCTAAACTGTCTGTATTTAAGCTTACAGCCAAATAGGTCATTGCATTTAAAGTGCTTCATCGCTATCATATGGGGGAACTACGATTTCTTATGTTGAAGCTGTTATCACATGCCACATATGTTACAATATTTTATTTTATTTTTAGCTGTTATATATCCCTTAATGGGCAATTGGCCTCCCAAACAGGATAAATTTTACGAAGGTTTCCTTGTTGGTTTTATATTCATTATTGTACGTGTGTTTACAATTAAAATCTCAAGTTCTAGTTAAATTCTCGATGTATTACAATAACTAAGCGTAAAATAACACGAATACCCTTGAGAATGGGGCCAAATGTGACTAGGACACATTCTATCACCCGTAAAATGTGAAATCAACACACTCTCTCAAATATCCTACAGTACCTCGAA